ATTAGGTGTACAGCCTATAAATTCTACAATCATTCACCTCAATCTAAATTGAACTTCAATCAACGACTAAAAGTTGCACCTTCTTAACCGTTCTTCTAAAAACTAATAGAAAATTATTCATTAGCTACGCGTTGACATAAACTAGCACCAATCCCATCATTTTTAAGAATAGGATTCGCGTATGTAAGAATACAAAAAACATAAAAGCGTCTATCTCCTCTCTGAAGGCTTAAGTTTTCACACGAGATAGTTCAATAGAGTATCAAATTATTCACACGTCATGCCTTTTTGCTAAAAAACTGAATTCAGTGCACGTTAAAGACTGAGTTTAGATAGAAAGTGCGTCCCAACTCTAAAAGCTTTAAGTTTTTTTCAGTTCTACAACGTCAATGGAGGCTCGAAAAATTAGATTGAAACGAAATTGGATAATAAAAAATCACACACTAGAGAATATTTTGATATACCTACCCAGAGTCGTCAAGAACAGTCCTGGAGATCTTCATCTTCCTTTTTGATCCATTGTACAGCTCCTCCAAGCTACAAGACAATTTATTCTCCAGTGGCGCCGCTTTCTTCAACTTCCTGGAGCCGCCTCCGCCGCCGCTGAATCGACCAAAAAGCTCCTCGAAGATATCCTCAGCATCCCTCGAATTAAACTTAAAGCCTCTACCTCCTCCACCATTCGGAGGATATAAACCAGACTTCAACGCTTCTTCTCCATACAAATCATAGATCTGTCTCTTCTTTGGATCACTCAGCACATCATAAGCCTCTGATATTTGCTTGAATTTCGCCTCTGCTTCCTTTTTGTTCAAAGCATTCTTGTCGGGATGCCATTTCATCGCCATTTTCTTGTAAGCCTTTTTGAGATCTTCTTCAGTCGCATTTCTCGAAACTTTCAGTATGTTATAGTAATCAACACCCATTTTGTGGGATCAAAAAAATTCTGGCGACGGTGTAGTGAGAATACAACGTGTATATATATAATGGGATTTTAGCGGGTGGAGTGGATCTGGGTCGGCCAAGTCCCGCCGAGTCGGCCGGTCGTCCACGTTGTAGAGTCCGAATGCACAACGCAGCGGAATGGCGGATATTACGTGTGATATTTTTAAGGAAATCAGCTAAAATGACAGGCTTTGACAAAACGCAAACAACAGCTCTGATCTAACGTTGTGAATATTCTAGGGAATGTTTGGAGTCGTTATTAAAATAATCTCATGTTTGACAAAGTTTTTTTGGTTCTTGTATGTCATATTTAAAAGTTGATAAAATTTGTGAATCCGATAAAATAAGTAATTTCCCTTTTTTCAAAATTTTAGGAAATTAATAAGAATAACTTAATACAGGATAAAGAGTCTCTCTAAATATCAATTTTTAGTTTTTTTTTATCAAGGTTAATACAATTCCAACTTCATGTCAAAATTTCTTGAGCTTAAGGAATCTCGTCCACCTTTAAACTTCTTGTGTTTTATTAATTAAAGTACACATAAGTGACTTATTTGAATATATAAATACACTTTCGAAATAAGTTAGTATGTTTT